TTCAGAAATATAAAGGGTTTTCCACATAAGTAAAAAATCTGGGGATTTTTAATAGATGTATATTTTTGTGTTTATTAATTATATAACATACAGACATACTTTATATGTTAAACACATGAAATTGTGCTGTGACAGATATGCTTGACTTCATGTAGGAGGAAATCTAGTCTCAATTATATATATGCACAATAATAAAACTGTAGTGTAGCATGTGTTTGATTTCATTTAGTGGCCTGTATTATTTTAACTAGAGTTATTTTGACAAAGAGGGACAAGAGGAATGAGAACAAATTTTAACTTCCATTTAAATCCTTTCCTTTGACTTTTTTAAGAGCTGCTTTCTATCATGTCAGTAAATGCAGATTAAGATAACCCCTTAAGGCAGATGACTTAAGTTTACCTGATTAACTAACCATCTGCCAACTACCTGCTGGAGACACTCATCAAGTTGTCCTTTTCAGAGAAATGGGAACATCCCCAGGACAGTGAGGTTCTGGGAGCTCTGGACCTTGGAGGTGCCTCGACACAAATCACCTTCCAGCCTGGAGTCCCCGTTGAGGACAGGAACACCTCTGTGTTCTTCCGTCTGTATGGCACCAACAGCCCTGAATTTAGAAATTAAACCCATCCCTGATCTAAAGCTGAAATTTAGATCCAGCTGAAATCTCTATTTTGAGTCTTGCTTGGTGGAAAAAGACCCATCAGTTAGTGTGCTGCCTATGACTATTTTATTAAACTTATTCACTATTTTGTAGTCATCCTTATCTCACAGAGATAGTCATGTATCTGAAGTGTTGACAACGCAACTGCAGCTTGACTATATGATGCTATGAAATACTTGAAAGTACTAGCATTCAATAAGAAAAATCATACTGTTTCATGATTTCTTGAATGACTTGTGTGGAAGAAAATTGCATTATTTCCTGCTTTCACAGAAGTTTTCAGAATATTTCTGTTTCAGTGTTTTTTGTAACTTCTCGAGGCCTGGAAAGAAAGAATTCTATTCTTGGCTTACCAGAGGTCAAGTCAGCCATTTGCTCATACTAGAAAATGTAGTCTGTGTAGGTGGACCAAGAACTGAAGGATTACTGTTCAGAAATACAGTTTGTGTGCATTTAATTCATTAATTGTTCTGCAGAGATAAGGAAATATTCCTTTCCCCTCCATACCCATCTCCTGGAATGCCTAGCAGTCACATTTTAAATATATTAATATGTTGTTACAGCAGCAAGACTTCAGTCACTTCTGTTTCTTTATGCAGTAGTTCCTTTTCAGTGTGGATGTGCACATGATTGCAGAACTAAACTGTTATTAGTCAAGTTGTTGATTATTTATGAAAGACTGCTCTGAACAAACTATTGTTAAACCTATTTCCTGTATTTCCTATTCCCAGCTTGCTTTGGGATACTGTCTTGGAAAAATGTGTTGTGTACCATATTTCTTACGAATTCAGTATTACCACAGTCAGCAAAAATACATAAATGAGACTGACCTTGATTGCAGTAGAGTTTGGAGTCTGAACTGATGACTGTCTCCTCTTTTGGTTTTCTGTGCCTCTAAGTTGGATTTGGTGTGTCTGCTACCAGTATTGGTGTTTGAACTGGGTTTGGTAAACACCACTAAATTCCAGTCAAGTAAGTATTTAGCGGGCTAAGATCTGTTCAGTGGGTGCATTGGACCTATATATAGGTCCATATATACCTATATAGGTATACTGAGAGGTATATTGAGAATCAGTGACCAAAAACACCAGGACTGTTGGAGCATCATTTGTTCTGCCCAGTTTATTGCATATATTGCTTATGGTAACAAGTAAATATATTTCCATATATATCTGTATATCTGCCTTCTAGCGGATAGCCAAACTATGAGACAGAATTTTCTATTGGCTGTTCGTGTAACTCGTGGTCTTCAGCACAACGGCACACCAAGACACTTTTTAGTGTTTTCTTCCTCTAGAGCTCCTTTGAGTTACATTCTCCTTCTTGCTGTTACTTAACATTCTGTTCTCCCTGAAGCATTGCACATCACTAGAAAGCATGAGAATACAGTCTGAAGTGATAAGAGGCCACAGCTATTGGAACAGTAGGAGTCAGTCTGGTTTTGACAGAAGGTGTTTGTTTCTCTGCTTTTCTCGTGTGAGTTTGATGTTTGTTTTTTGTGTTGTATTTTTTTTAAAAAGCTTTTTTTAAGCATGATGATGTAAACAAAGAAGCTTATTATTTAGTTGCAGCAGTGCACCAGATGATAATAAAGCAAGATCTAGTCTGTGCTTTGAAAAGCTTCATTCTCTGTGTTCCTTTACAGGGATATCCAGCAGAGATGATGCACTGGGATGTGGAGAATTTTTGTACATGTTTTCCAAGGCTAGGTAGCAAATTTGTTCTTCCTTGCTTTAATGGCACCAGTGACGAGATATCCTCCCCTTGCCCTGTAGTGAATGTATGATTTATTAAAATAAAGTGCTTGGCAAGGAGGGGTGAGCAAGAATGATTCTGCTACCATTCAGGCTGAATTCAGGTTTTCCTCAGTTATCACCATGGCAGATTTCAGCATGGATTATGTGCCCAGCTGTATGGGGCAACCAGTTTCTCCTGGCCTGCTGGATGCCGTCTTGAAGGATGCTTCACTTCGATTCACTTGTGCTTTGCAGAATACAAAGAGAAATATTTCACATTGAGGTGTTACTGCAGTATAGTTGTGCTGCAAAAGAGGAATTACCACAGTGATATCAGTAAGCCTCTGTTGTACATCCTAGGGAGCAGGGGTAAGCCTTACTTACTGACCCACACTGAATGTGTGTGTGTATGTGTGTGTGTGTGTATATATATATATATGTGTGTGTGTGTGTAAATTTTTTTTGGGGGGTCTGGATTGAATCATGTAATATATTTGAGTTTTTAGCCTGAGTTCTGTCAGATTTTGCATCTTTGACATAAAATTTGCTAGGATTTTGGTCTGCCTGATGTATGCAAGTGCATTCTTCACTTAAGTCTATGCCTTTTCGTTGTTCATTTGCTGGTTTCATCTACTTGTTACCATAAGCAATATATGCAATAAACTGGGCAGGACAAGCAAATGATGCTCCAGCAGACCAGGTGTGTTTGGTCACCAATTCTCAAATACCTCGTGAGTCTGTCTGTAAATGTCAGATAAACCAAAGCTTGGAAGAAAAAAATTGGGGTTGCTGATAATCTGTTCAGTGATAAAGTAGTGGTGATTGACAGTAAAGAAGCACTCTAATAGTCTTAAAAATCTTGGGGTTTCATTCATATCACTGTATCAGTCTCAGAAGGGACTGCACAGCATGAGTTGTATTTTGTGACGTGGAGCCATTATTCATGTATCATCCTGTGAAGCTATTTCATCTGTTTCCTTTGAAACAGTACAGAGTTTGTGTGTGGGCTTTCAGAGGAAGTGATCCAGGACAGCCCTGGAAATGGGGTTGCTTAATCTTTCTTCTTATCCCCTTCTCCCTGACAGCTGTGCTAGAAAAATGTCTCTTGTGTCCTTTGTGTACCTTATAAAGGCCATCTTCTAATGAGTTAGACTGAAGCAGGAAGGCTAACAAAATCTTCACTTTGTTTCAGAAATTTTAGAGACCTTGGTGGAGTCATGTCCACAGTTAATTGAATATCAAAGACTTGAACTTCAAAGAAGTGTTCATGGAGTCTGCATGTGATTTCTTTGGGGACAAAAAGCATTTTCTGTCTGAATATCTACTTAAATATAGTCTAGTAATCATTAAAGTCATTTATTGCACTTCTGGTCTTAGGAAGTTCACAGGTATGACATATGTAAGCAATTCCTGCAAGTGCTAATGAAGGCAGGGCAAAAAAGGAAAGAAAAAAAAACCCCGAACCAAAAATAACTGTTAATCATGACTGGAGTAGTATAACTTATGTGGGGAAGGTAAGGAACCACCTCATTTTTGGGCAGGAGGGAGTCAAGATAATGTGAACCTCCCAGCAGCCTTGGGGTGTGAATTTTCTACACTTGGAAGGTCAATGTCACAGTGACAAAACATTAGTAGTAAATATGTTGTTAAAATTTTATATACTACAGAAGCTACCCTAGATGTGTGGGGGAGTGTGTGGGTTTCTGTTTTGTTTTTCTCCCTGCAGAATTTGTAAATTAGATTTCTTCTTCATCAGAATACATTTGTTATGTGTGAGATTTTCTTTCTGGTTAGTCAGTTGGCAGCTCTCCATCTGGGCCCTGAAGCCAAGGATAGAGATGCTCTGCATGGTCCTATCCTATTGCTGTCCTGAGGGTGATATATAGGTATTAGTATCTCTTCTTATAGCTCACTTTGTGCTTTTTATTTGCCCCAGTTAGTTGTTGCTACAATGAAGTTATACTTTCAGCATATTGAAAGGGTTGTAAGAAAGATGCAGGCTAAAACTCATACTGTATGCAAATTATTTATTGTTCTTTCTAAAATTAGGAGCAAACTGGTTGCTCCATCATGTTCGTGGGAACAAAAATATCTGGCTCTGTGAATGGCAAAATCATCAGGCTGGAAAAGGGGCATAATAGATACCTGGGTTATGAGAGACCTTTTGAGTCTTGCCTGGGTAGCTAGGGTTAAGGATTGTCTTTTAAGTGAATTTTAATGTTGGTGAGAGAAAGTTTGTAACTAGGGGTGAAAATGACAGGAATTGGAAAATGAGATTTTTGCGTGTATAATGTGCAACAAATGCCTGTAACCTAAGGGTATTTCCTGCTTGTTCTCCTATTTTGTCAGTGTGTTACATGTGGGATTTTTTTTTTCTGCTTTCTATTTGCAAGTTCTATCAGGCAGGGGATGTATAACCTTCTGCAAGTGCTGCCACTCTCAACTTAGCTATTGCTGTTTATAGTTAGGTCCTTGGGAAAAAAAACCAACAAAAACCAACAGGCAGCAGTTGACAAAGTCATTTTCAATGGCAGAAGTGTATTGAGTAGAAGTATAAAAAAATAATATCTTCACTTTGTGCACTTTTTCAGACTGCTCTGCAATGACTACAGCAAGATACAGACCTACCTGGGACTTGGTACTTGACCCATTAGTGTCCTGCAAGCTCTGCCTTGGTGAATATCCTGTGGAGCAGATGACAACAATAGCACAATGCCAATGCATCTTCTGTACCCTGGTGAGTTTGCTTTCTTTATTTGACATAAAAAACAAAGCATAATTTTAACTGCAGTAATCATGTGTGTTTCTGTTGCATGGGTTTCACCCTGAAGTATTGATGTGGCAGGGGAAATAAATCCTGTTGCTGTGTACTTGACACAAATGCTAGCAAGTAAATTATTCTGTTTTCCTGTTTAAAAAAAGTTTTTTACTCAGCACTTCAATATACTTAGTATACAAGGTGTAGGTACCTCCTTAGCAAGGTTATTCACTTTCCCCTTTATTGGTGGCTTGCATTTGAGGGTGGGTTTTGTGATTGGTTGGATTTGTGTTGTGGGCTTACATGGGTTTTTTTTTTCTGTTTGGTTTTTGGTTTGTTATTTTCGGTTTGTGGGTTTTTTTTGGGGGGTTTGGGGTTTTTTTTAACTTTAGACTAGGAGGGAATAGAATCTTTCAGTTGGAAAGGATAGTTTCACAACAATCATCAGTCCGTCCACCTGACCGCTTCAGGGCTCATCAAATATTAAAGCCTGGTATTAAAGGCACTGTCCAAATGACTCTTAAACACTGACAGGCTTGGGGCAGCAGCCATCTCTCTAGAAAGCCTGTTCCAGTGTTTGACCACCCTCTCTGTGAAGAAATGCTTCCAAATACCCAGCCAGAACCTTTCCTGACGCAGCTTTCAACCATTCACACAAGTCCTCTTACTGGATACCAGGGAAAAGAGCTCAACACCTCCCTCTCCAATTCCCTTTCTCAGGAAGCTTTAAAGAACAATGAGGTCACCTCTCAGCCTCATTCTGTCCAAACTAGACAAACCTAAGGTTCTCAGCCACTCCTCACAGGACATGCCTTCTAGCCCTTTGACCAGATTTCTTGTCCCCCTCTGGATGCATGCAAGGACCCTCACATCCTTCTTAAATGTTGGGGCCCAGAACTGCATACAGCACTCGAGGTGAGACACCAGTGCTGAATACAGGGAAGTAGTAACCTCTTGACCAGCTGGTGACTCTGTTTAATATGCCCCAGAATGGGGTCTGCCCTCCTGGCTGCTGGGGCGCCCTGCTGACTTGTATGGAGCCTGCTGTCAACCAGCAGCCCCAGTTCCCTTTCTGTAGGGCTGCTCTCCAGCCACTCCTCTCCTAAATCATACTTGTGCCTGGTGTTATTTGATATCAGGTGCAGAATCTGGCATTTCAAAGTAATAAATTTCGTTACATTTATCATAGCCCAATGCTCCAGTTTCTTTAGATCCCTCTGTGAGTCATCTTGTCTCTCAAACAAATCAGAAGCACTAACCAGTTTGTTATCATAATCAGACTTGCTCATGGTGCATTCAGCTCCTGCATGCAAACAGTTGATAAAGATATTGAACAGAACTGACCCTAGAATTGAGCTGAAGAACAGTGCTGGTGACTGGTTGCCAAACAGATGTAGCCCCGTTTGCCACAACCCTTGGAGCCCAGTTCTTCACACAGGGCATCATGAACCTGTTCATCTGACAGTTGGACAACTTGTGCGAAAGGCTATTGTGAGGGACAGTACCAGAGGCCTTACTGAGTCCAAGAAAGCTACATCCACTGCCTTCCCTAACCCTACACTCGCAGGGTAACCTTGTCACATAAACAAATTAGTGAAACAGACTTCCTGTTTGTGAACCCATGTGGACTGTGCCAAATGACTGCATTATTCTTTAGAATGCCTTTCAATAGTACCCACTATAGCCATGCACACACTTATAACTGGAAGAGTATTTCATATATTATAGATTCTAAGTTCACTGTATCATAATTAGTCACATAACAGGTTGTCATTAGTCACATAAACAAATTAGTGAAACAGACTTCCTGTTTGTGAACCCATGTGGACTGTGCCAAATGACTGCATTATTCTTTAGAATGCCTTTCAATAGTACCCACTATAGCCATGCACACACTTATAACTGGAAGAGTATTTCATATATTATAGATTCTAAGTTCACTGTATCATAATTAGTCACATAACAGGTTGTCATTACCATATTATACAAACACTTGCCTGGAATAACAAAAATCTTGTCAGTTAAGTACAAAACACTGGCAAACATAAGCATAATATGTGACAATGATCATCATTATCACAGTAAATGGATATTGTTAGTTTATGAACAGAGAAGGAAAACTAGTAGTAATTTTTCATCCCTAATAGTGATTTGGAATTAAACCGGTAGATCCTTAAATTTTGCAATGGGTTCAGGTACACCAGAAACCTTGTAATGATAGTTCAGCAGTCAAAAAGGTAGAGTATTATCAGTAAGAATATAATTTCTGGGATACGTAATAGTCAAACTTTAATTTTTCAAGGGTTTATGACATGGTGTTATAGATTAAGCCATGAGATTGGCATCCTGTTCTGAATTAGGAGCAGGAGGGGTTGTAGCAATTTCCGTGGCAAACGATGACACAAACAAGGTCAGTGTCACTTTAAGTGCCATGTTTATTAACAACAGGGGGGATAACGAGTCTTAAGGAGGGACAGGATCAAGATAGCTTAGAAAGAGAAAGTAGGAAAGTTAAGCAGAAGTACAGAGAGTTTGCAAAAGGAAAGTTACCACCGTGGAGTACTGCAGCATCCTGCAGGTCTGATCGTCGCATGGTGGGGGAGACTTTGAGTGAAAAACTGGCTCTCAAGGGGGAGAAGCTTCCAGCGAAAAATTGGTCCATTTGCTATGTGTTGGTTTTGCTCCACCCTGTCTGCCAATCAGTCCTGGAGGTTTTGTGACGCATTAATAGCACAGCATAGTCCTGCCTTCTCGTTATGTAACTGCACGTGTGCTGGGTGGACTTTGGTGGGGAGGAAAGCTCCATAGAGCACCTTCATTGATGTATCTATTTTGACCTTGTCTCGGGTGTGTGTGTCCTTGCCATGATGGTAAAACCACAGTCAGCCAGCGTGGCAAAAAGTCAAATGCCAGCAACCTTTTTTCACACCTTGTGGTTTACTTAAGGGAACAATGTTGAGACACTTTTGGAATTTGGATCACAGTCTCACAATTAGGTGATTTATTTTTTTTTTCAATTTTTTTTTTTTTTCAATTCAGAAGTCCTCAACAAAGTTAGTTTTTGGCATGTGTTTTTAATGTTGAAGGCTAAGGATTTTTTAAAGCAGTGCTTTTAATATTTTATTTTCCTTCATGGAAATACTGCCATTTTTTAAATAATAGAATTTTTTTCCTGATGGCCAGTGGGACAGATCCACTTTGAAAGGAGTGTTTGCTCAAGCATGCAAAGATATATAAAACAATAGGCATCATCAAAACTGTTCTCAAATATTCTAGTACTTCACAGCTGAGTGTTCTGTGTTTCTCTCTGTTGCTTGGATGCGGAAAATATGTAAATTTCAGTTTTCAGTAATATTTCAGTGGCAGCAGAAAGGCTGAGTTACCAGATAAGTCTTTTCATCTTCACATTGTTTCATCTGACACTTGCTGCTGTCACTGAGCTTGTGTTTCTTGGTAGAATATGGTTGCTGACTTTCACTGCTGTTTTGAAAGACATAACCAGTTATAGAAGTAACCTTTGCCAGTAACCTGTTCTTAGTGCCTGAAATACATAATCTGACTTGGTGACTTGGAATTTTTGTTTTGAACTCAGGCGGGCCCATCAGTCCACTTCTGCCACTTGTATTTGTCTTGAATTGTTCATTCATCTTTGTCCTGTTTAAGGAAATTGGTGTGGTTTGACTGCCTCTTGTCTGCCAGTAGTATAAGCTTTACTACAGTGACGTTTGAGTTTACTCTAAAGCTTTGCTGTGAATTAATAGGAACTATGACCCTTGCTTTCACTGGTGGCTGTGAGGAGAGAAATAAGAATCAATCCCAATAAATGCAAGAGGCAATAGCTATAAACCTGTTACAGCCCAGGGCCTTCATCTCTACCTTTGGGACAGCCTGCAGGTTAATAAATTGCCTAAGAAAATATTCCTATGAATCAGGCAAGATTGTTTAGCCTATTGGCAATTTTTAAGGAAGACTGTGACAACTGTGCACAGTTTTATCTACTGGTGTTTCCCCAGTGATGACTTCCATAAACACCAAGTGCATTGCAGTTCTCAGTATGAACTGTGCTTTGTAAACAGCAAATTACAGTTACTTAAAACCAACAGAGGAAAAAAAAAGCCTTTTGACTCAAGATTTTGCATGGAGTCTACATGTACATGTAGATCCAGTACATCTCTCTGTTTTGTTGTTCCTGATTGATCAATACATGTTTCTGATCTGGCTTCTTGCTTTTGTGTAAATGAACAGAGATAGCCTCTCCAGGGAAATGAGCAAAAAAAGAAAAAGGAATGTCTGTTACAAGTGTGAGAACTGTTTTTCCTGCAGGTTTTGCCAGTAGCTCTAGCCCTTCTGTCTAAATTGCAGCAAGCCAAGACAGCACAGGTGTGTATTAAAAAGAGTTGTTTCAAGTGCAGTGCTGCTGGTATGTAGGCAGAATTTGGATCAATGTACAGGTCTCTGAATCCTTTAGTATTTTTGCCTGCAAGTCTTGAGTCTTTATAATCGTAGAAGTGCTGTAGTAAAGATCCCATGAAGGACTGTCTCTTCCTGACACTTACACAGTAGCACAACATTGCTATTCAGAACGATAGAATGGGGACACTGTTTCCTTTTGCTCTCTGGCGGAGCTGTGCTTGGATTGAATAGAGCAGACTGCCACTCCTCTGCTGATAAGGCATAGGCGCTGCAATTTCCCATCGTATTATTTTGCCAGTTCTGGCTATTAGTACAATACTCCATTATAGGTTTTATCGTTATGATCGTTAATGTGCACACAATGCAGTGAGCTCTCGAGTTTTGTACATCTCATCCAGTAGGAATGTATAAGAATGTATTTCCTCAGGTACCTTGAGCCAGTCTGTTGTTGGATTGCGCAAGGTACCAGAGGAACAAAAGTCTAGGGAGCACAAAAAAAAGCAAGCTATCTGCTGTTTGTTTGTTTTTTCTGAGTGTTATCAAAGGGCAAACTAGTATCTCTCTTC